TGTAACTTACATTCTATTATACTTGCAAGCTAAACAACAGATGGGCTACCTTTTGCTTAACAATTAATAGACATAGACGTGAGTATTCTACTCAATAACATATATCCTACAGGTCATACTCTTGAGGCAGTCCACCATCAGTGGCATAATTACTAGAGCAAAATTCACCCCATTCTTTACTATGTGAAATTGTCAATAAAATCTTGTCATGATAACTATCGGGTGTTTACAACAATTTTTGGTCTGAACAAAATCCAAAATACTAGGGGAGTTGCTATTTGCACAAGCAATTCTTCCAAGTACAACCACCTTAATGGAAGTTCCCTTCTGAAACATAGATCCACTGTAGAACCCATACCCTTCCATATTGAAGCAAATTCAACATCAATGTACCTAAAAACAAGAGAAAAATATGTCATTTAAAATTCATAAGCATGCCAAGAAAAATCAACACAGCAGATAGATAATATAGACAAACCCTCCCCCAAGTATGACAGCACGCTTAGGTAACTCTTCCAAGCTCAAGGCTTCGTCAGAGGTTATAGCTAACTCCTATAATGCCAACCAAAAAATAACAAAACAAAATAAGTAGTTAGATAAAGATGGGAGAAAAAATATGCAAGATAATTATATAACACCAATAGTGGATGGTTTCACTCTTTTCAAGTAATTTATCAGTTAAAAATGTTTGTAGTGGTGTTCCCAGCAAAAAGTGCACATAAAAGAACAGCCAAGCTAGAAAGATGAACCACCTATATCCAGAATACGATTATCATGTTATGTCACTTTCCATTCGTGTCATAATAAAAATCAGAAGATTTACCTGCCCTGGAATAGCCGGTCGATAAGCCCTGCTGCCGGTTGCAATGAGTATGTGTTTTGCTGAATAGCATATTTTAGTACCATCTAGTTGCGTCACCTCAACTTCATTTGGACCAACTATCTTTCCCTCTCCTTCATATAATTTAACCCCAGCATTTGAAAGTAACCGCTTGTAGATTCCATTTAATCTGATTATTTCTTCTGTCTGCAATATTCACAAAAATAAAAATGGAGAAAACAAAATATTATCTTACTAACCCTCAACAAATAAAGTAACGAATAATGTGTTCAAACACCAAAATAAGAGTATTATCAACTTCACTTTTTCATTATTACCACACAACAGGACACATTAATCACACAATGTGAATATTGTAAGTCAATTACACCGAGTATTTACTTATGAATACCTGTGTTCTTAGCTGCAGGTGCTGCTGCCCTGTTATTCATAAACCCCAACATTGTGAGAGCTAAGTCATCAATTGAAAGCTAAATATTGAAAGAACAAAAAGAACTAAACTGACAAATAGAATATGGCATGCAAAGCACGGTAAATTAGTATTGATGCAATGAGATAAGCTATAGAATTGTCTTCTGTTTACTTATACTGATAGTATTGATGGAATGAGATCCAAAGGCATATAACATTCATGGGTACTTGATCTCAACTTTTTCAAACTATTCTACTGTTTTTAAATGCTAGTTCTGAAAGTCGTAATTGTTTTTCATATATGCAGAATTCCACTAAAAGGGCATTTCCTCTGCCTAAGAACGTAAGAACCCTTGTAAATGCATGCTGCCTAGATACCAAGCCTTAAAATCATGAATACCTCTTCAACAGTATGTGTGACTACGTTAATTTTGGACTTGCAATAGGTTTTGAATGGATGTTTCATACTTATCATCTTCTCATCTTCACAAGTTTTTCCCTTCCCTTAACCATTATTCAGTCTATAATTTTTTGCCATGTGGCGTGTCAATTTTTTTAATTATTAATTTTTTGCTAGACATGTTGGCAACACTTCATGAACATGTTATTGTACATCATCTGTTGTTCCACTTTTATTTTTCTTCATGAAGTGTGCTCAATTCTTTTTTTTTTTTTTCAAATAATAAAACATGTTTGAATGTGTGTCCAACACATATCGGGGCATGTCTGAAATGTGTAGGAGGCTTAGAGCATGAGGAGTGTCATTGGCATAGAGCATGTCCAAGTGTCATTCTCCAACACAGACACATACGTTTTTAGAAGTGTATGTGTTTCTTACACTACCTCCGCAATACAATGTGCTTGGACATGTTAAGTAATTAAACTATTAATTTTGAGCACCCTTTGATGTTGCATAGATTTTCCTACTTGTCTAAAGAAGGAATCAAATAAACCTCAAATATTGAAAAACTGGAGAACTGCTATAAATGTCAGACGCATATAACCTATGATACAAAAAAGAAAAAAAGAGAATAAAGTCACATTTGATTCACTAACATGGAAGTGAATATTCAAGTACATTTAACCTGGCAAAAAGATGAATAATGCTGATCTTCTAGCCACTTCTCAGCATATCTTGATGGTGGACCAGACACTGAAATCACCTGCAAACCTCCAAGAAGAATAAAGGAAGATGTATGTACCTTAGATGAAAAGTTTGAAAACACTGTTGTTTTTTTAGTCGTTTTCGTTTTCTTATCGTAGATGAAACAAAGATGGACTAGATTAATAAGGAGGCTACAACTTACCAATATGTTCCGGGCCGGTTAAAGACCAGTCGAGAGGCACCTTCTAAAACAAAATCCAGCAGAATATAGGATAGTCCAGACAGAGATGATCTAATGTTTGATCTTGAGAAATAAACAATACTCCGACTTAGCTTGGTATATGTGATTCGTCCGCAAGAATACATCAAGAAAACAAATCATAAAGTTTTCTAAAAGGAAGTTTGTGTAATTGCAAGTTATATGCATTTGGGCTAATCTCCCACAACACAAGGTCTATTTACACCATAAAATTTTCTAATTTGGATTTTACTCAGCTGCTGTTATGCCTATTTTGCAAGTGCAAGCTAGTCTAATACAATTACAAACCCGATTTCCATAGCAATTAAAACTGATTACCACAATAATTGTAATGTACTACTTAACGATGAGCCAGAAAATTGGAGCTTTGGGAAGCATCACATAGCTCTGTTAATGGCTTTTACTGCAAAAATTCATCAATCACACAAGCAACTGTATTGCAACCAGTTTTGGTGTAAACATAAATATTTGTGCATAAGAATGGATCTCTTCCCCACATGAGGGTTATATACATCATAATTTTATTAAGTTGAAGGTAATTAGTGATTTTATGACAAATTACCATGATCTTATTTCTTACCTACTGATGAATGATGTTTCATTGTTTCATTGCTTCAACTTCAGCATTCAACTATCCCTCCAACCAGTATCAGATATTGAGAATCAGTCTCAATGAATTAATAAATTTCATACAATACAATACCATCCCAGCTATCAAAAAAATCAGAATTGGCAACACTTCATGAACATGTTATTGTACATCATCTGTTGTTCCACTTTTATTTTTCTTCATGAAGTGTGCTCAATTCTTTTTTTTTTTTTTCAAATAATAGAACATGTTTGAATGCATGTCCAACACATATCGGGGCATGTCTGAAATGTGTAGGAGGCTTAGAGCATGAGGAGTGTCATTGGCATAAAGCATGTCCAAGTGTCATTCTCCAACATAGACACATACTTTTTTAGAAGTGTATGTGTTTCTTACACTACCTCCGCAATACAATGTGCTTGGACATGTTAAGTAATTAAACTATTAATTTTGAGCACCCTTTGATATTGCATAGATTTTCCTACTTGTCTAAAGAAGGAATCAAATAAACCTCAAATATTGAATAATAATAATAATAATGTAACCAGATATTCTACCTAAATATCTACACTGATTGATCAATCCAAACTGATGCTAATTTAGGGTAATAAAAAAACAGAGATTAAAATTCAACATGCTAGGAAAATTCAACATGCTAATTTAGGGAAAAAAAACAAGCGAATCTGAAGTGATGGTGCTCACCTTGGTAGATGATGGTGCTCACTTTCCTCGCTGAACGAATCTGAGATTGAATCACCGAGTTGAAGAAGGTTGAACTTCGAAATCACGTTCAATCGATCAATAGATCTTCAATCGATCGATCTGATCTAGATAAAACCTAGCAAACCTGAATCGAATGATTCCATCAGTAAGTATCATCTTCAATCGAACTTGACTTTGAGAAGATAGAGATAAGACTGATCAACACTTACCATGAAGAAAGACCTGCGAACTCGAACATGAACTAGAGATAGAGATAAGACTGATCTGCGAATCGATGATCTATGAATACTTCAATCGAATAAACGAAGAGGTGAATCGAATACTTGAAGAGAAGGGTTGCAGATTAATCGATTACTAAATGAAGGGGTTTGAATCGAGAGAAACGAAAGGGTTTGAAGCAAGAGAGAGTGAAATCACGGGTGTAGTGAATCTTCTTTGATTTAAGCTTCGATGGATCTGAATCAGGTTTTGTTCAGATCGGGGCTTCGATCTGAATCTTCTTTGATTTAAGCTTCGATGGAGCTTCGATGGAGAGGGTTGAGAGAGAGATCTGTGCGCATGTATTAAGGGTTGAGAGACCTGTGCGTATGTAGGCTCTGATTCAAAATAAGGTTTTCACAAAAAAGGGGCGCGTGTGGGTCACCACATTCGGAGGCGTTTTTAAACGCCTCCCATAATAAAACGGTGTCGTTTTGTTTAATAGAATATGCGGCGTTTATAAAACGCCGTTAAATACTAATAACAGTGACGTTTACAGAAACGTCGTTAACAAAACGCCACCAAATCCCCCTTTTCCTGTAGTGTTTTTTTTGTTTTTTTTTTCTTTAAATTCTTCTTGAAGTTGAGTATTAAAGTAGCTGTTTAGAAAAATGAGCAAACGTGGGCGTGTTTTTTTATTTTTTATTTTTTGGTAAATCACCTAAATTCTACGTGACAAGAGTTTTAAGAGATCAAATTTAAGATTCACTTAATATAATAGTATAGATAGATAGTATAGATGATTTTTTTTTTTGTCACCGAATATTTTATGTTAAGGAGTTTTTTAGTGCGTTATATTGAAGCGTTACATTAGAGTGTTACGTTTGGAAAAAGTATACTAAGAAGTTTTCAACAAATTTACATTTATCTCTCAATACATAACATACGGGTTTATGTGCTTGTTTGGTGTAACTTAAAAGTTGCTTATTTTGACTTTTAGCTTAATTTAAGTTATTTTGATGTATTTGGTTTAGCTTATAGCTTATAGCTTATAGCTTTTTGGAAGTCAGAAATCAACTTATTCTTTGAGTGGGGCAGGAGATGCTTAATTTATAAGCCAGAAATCAGCTTATGTTCATAGTTATAAAGTATAAGCCGTTTAGGCATAAGCTATAAGCACTTTCCCACAGCTCTACCAAACAGGGCCTATGTTTAATCATTTATGTAATTCATACTAAATGTGACATTTGAGTCTATAAGGAAAAAGAAAAAACCAAATAATTTATAAAATTACTATTTGAGATTGATTATTACACACTAATATTTGGTTATAAGAAAATAGTATAAATATATACATAGTTTGGCCTTGTCAAGGGTTTGTAAAAGGAAAGAATGCAACCGTTTAAATGGCAGCAGCAAAAAAAAAAAAAAAAAACATAAAAAACAAAAATGGTAACAAGATGCAACCCATTGTCAAAAGGGTCACACGTCGTGATTTTGACCAATAGTAATCCTATATAAATATTGTAAGATTTATTGATGTATTTAAAAAAAAAATGCCTAACACTCCCAGTGGGAGTCACTGGGGTCGTTTTTCATTGGCCCAAAAATTGTTTTTTTTTTTTCTTTTGTTTTTGTTTTCAGCCAATGGGGGGGTGACACCTCACTGGGGGTTGTCAATAGGGGTCACCCCACTGGGGGTCTGTAGCATGGCCCATTTAAAAAATCAATATAAAACTTATAAGTATTTAAATTCACATAATGGGGCAATATAAAAATTATAAGTATTTAAATTCACATAATGGGACTAGTGGATAATTAATCCCAAATGTATATACCTAGAAATGCACAATTTTTAATACATCTTGTGTAGCATTAATATTTTAATGGAGGATAAAATTAAGGTAATGCACCAATAAATTTTAAAATAGTAACTTGTGCACTATTTAGTCCTATATTTTATCTTGTAGACTAATAAGTCCCGTTTTATATAAAATTACATGTTAGAGTGTGATATGTGTAATATGAGGAATTGAACAATGCTGCAATTACATTAGTACCCCAAGACCTTACTATAGCTTGTTTTAGTTTTCCAGCTTTTACGATCTTCAGGGAAGAGATGAATATGGGAAAAAGTATATTCCCAATGTTAATACAGAGAAATGGGGTTTCTATGATGTTGTTGGATTTGGTAATGTTATCTCGTCATTATGGGTGGTTGAAACCCTAGGAATACGAATCGTGTTTTGGTTTAATTGAATTGGTGTAATTGAATTGATTGACATTGGCGATGGGTTTTCGATGAGCGTAGTTCCTTAGTGTTTGAAAGGCAGCGTT